CAGCAATGGTTTCTCTAATGCGGAGAGTAACTGTAGCAAACAGGCAAACAGTATGTTGGAGGCATACATCATAAGCATGCGTCAACAGTGTTTGTGTAATTACTCTGCCAGAGGGGGAGGCTGAAGTTCAGCACTGCAGGTTTAAATAGTTTATAGCTCCCTGTGTTTTTATTACAGAGGTGTAGTACTTTAAATCTGATCACATAAGGTCTGGAAATGTTTCACCATAGATGCATCACAACTGTATGCAGCTGGTGCCATTTTTATTTTTTCCAAACAACCCCACAACACTAGGGTAGATTTTCAGCTTCCAGTCTGCGCCATGCATTGACTAAACTTTGTGACAATCTTTGCAGTTGACATTTCCATACTGACAACTGTATACAATCGCGACATTTTTCTGTAACCAATTATGCACACCTTTCATACCATCTTATCTCTAACACCAGTGTCTGTGAAATGACTGCTGTTAAGAAATGTAGTTCCATACTGAGCTGAACATGAATGTAGGAGTGAGTTGCCAGGTGTCAGGTTGGTTATTCTCTCCTTTCAATCACAGCTCTGAATATGGAACGAGACAAACTGGCTTATGCATAGGCTTCCTGATTAATAAAACATGAGGCACCCTGATTCAAATAAAGGGAATACTAATCTCTGGATAAGGCCCCCTCTGACTAATCTAAGGCCTATCTGTAGCTGAGAGGTGAGCGTTGTGGTGTGAGGGGGGGCAGTGGTTGGAGGACAGCGGAAGAGTCCAGGGAGAAAGCCTTTGATGTTAGAGCAGCATGTCAGATTAGTACAACAGCACCAGCTCAAATAGGGAGATGAGTGGAGGAAGAGAAGAGACTCCTTCAGGCTCCAGGCAACACCAGGCAAGATACCCGCAGTTTGATGCTCTGTTCAAGCTATGGCCTAAAACTGAAGCTAAAACACTTCAATATTATGAGGATTTCAGACAACTTTACTGTTGTTTACAGTGATTAGGGCAATAAAAACAAATCTATTTCATGTTAATTTAAAGGAACATTCCAGTTAATGACAACTAATGCGTTTTGTATTGGTTGGTTTTACAATTCATATTCATATCGTACTCACCAAATCAATTGTTGAGATCTGGAACATGCTGACGAGTCTGAAGGGGTAAAACACATGAGCAGTCAGTATGTAGAGATATGTCACGAGAATTAAATCGCGACACAAATATGTGTTGAGAGTCAAGAGTCAAAATGAGGTGAAAATGTTATTGTGATACTCGTTTAAAATAGCAGGGAAGAAGGTTGTGTGTTCAAATCACGCCAGAGCCTCGTGTATATATCTAATGGTGATTTGGGAACGTCGAGATCATTCAGGAGAGCAACTTATGATAGGCTGCCGACCTCATCATCTCCTGAGGAGTTACATCAGTGGTTCTCACGGTGGTGTACATTCGACCACACACTGACACCAACCAAGCCCCAAACGAACTGTATGGAATTATCCACAGGACTGAGATGTACTGTAAATCCCACTGGACTTCTTGTTGCCAATGTCGCTGCATATTTGAGCAATTAACTTGGTGACTACAATGCTATTATAACCTGTTGTAATAAACCAAAATTAGCCTTTAAGCCTATGCTTACTGGTTTTATTAGGAACTTGGGGGAAATGCAACTAGCTGTAAGCATAAAACTGCAAGTTAATATGACTGACATGTTAGCAAACAGTTGCTTATTTACATCCAGCATTTTGGTCTCCACCAACTACTGAGTAAAGAGCCTGGCCCTTTAGCTGCTAAATGCTTCAGTATGTTCACCAGCTAGTTGCTAACCTTGTCCTGTTGCTGGGCAGCTGGCTGATGGGTATATCAGAGCCTTTCCACCGAAAACAGCTGATTCATGTGGTTGAAAATAATGCTAATGCAAACACTGGGACTGAATTAAAACGTAATTGTTAATCTAAAATGCTTGATTGCCGCAACTTCAAGTTTAATTCAAACTCATTAATTGGGTACATCTTCTGTGGTTATTACATTATACACTTTAGTTATTGCTTGATGAAACAACTAATGTGGATAGACCCATTTGGCTTCATTTTTCAAAATCACACTTGTCTTCACTGCCAGCTGACTGTAAAGGTTGGAAGAATTGGAGTCATTCTGCCAAGTTCTAATAAGTGTCACATTGCACCCGCGCCGTCTTTTTCCTGAAAGTAATGAATATCCGGTTTGCCGGCTACTGCATATGCCAAAATTTGAATGCAGCATGAGTTCCACCTTTGGGCTACAGTGTTTTGGCTGCACTTACAGTTCTGCATCATCTCTAGCAGAGCTAGTGATGTAACCTGTACGTGCTGAACAAGGTGGCTCCAAATGAAACCATCTACAGTAGTCCTATACAGTAAAGACAATTTAATCGACAGCACAGTGTTTTGTTCTCAGTCTGATACCTCTAATTTATATCAGTAAAGCATTATCAGCCAGGCTATCAGATGGAAAGTTTTGAAAAACATGTATTCAGGTTAAATCAGCGTCCTCAGTGCTCTGTGTTCTTTATATGGCATAATATGAGCATCATGAGAATCTGATTTAACAGCATTTTACTGTTAGGTTGTAGCCATGTGCCGCAGAGGAAAATACTTAATTTTCTTCCAACATCATTATCAAAGCATCCTGACAGAAGAACAAGTAATTTGTATATTAAGTCCAGTCTATTGTGCAGCTGATTCACTGTGACATTGCCCAGCTGGGTGCCATGATAATGCCACTATCAGAGATCTGTCACTCCCTCTTTTCTCCCCTTTAATGGAGATGGTTCTTCAAGTGACAGGATCAAAGACGCAGTAGGGGTGCCAGGGCTACGAAAGGGTTAGCCTTACCCAGCAGAGGGAATGGAGGGGTGGGGGAGGGCAGGCAGGCTTTCAATGCTGCATTGCCCTGTCTGCCTGATGCTGCACAAGAAACGTCAGCTTTGGAGGAAATCTGCTGCGCCGCTTTAGGAAGATCTGGGGGAATCTGATGTGAAGTTTAAAACGACAATGAACGGTACATCGCAGGGCAATCCTGCCAGTGTTGTCTCAGAGTTGCACATACACCAACGCTGTTACGTAACCATAACAACCACGACAACGTGACAAGCACTGGATTCGAAACCGACGGCAGGAACACAACAGTATCCACTGTTGGCAAGACAACTTGAAGATCCTTTCTGTAGTTCTGCTGTGGCCCTCGTGTCTAAAGATAGCTGGCCCTGTGGAATGGTCTGATGTTCAAACAGACTGTAACATCACACACAAGTGAAAATGAAAGTGTAGTGCACTATGTGTGTTATAATATAAAGCCAAGAATCCTGTCTCATATATTATACTGCAACCCCCACGCACATCAGACTGTGATTCAGTAACTGAGCCCCTTATTTGTACAGATACAACAGCTGTACAGTATCAACTTCTCTGCTTCACTTTTCATGCAGCCACTCTGTCATTAAACCAGTTGAATCCACAGTACGTGGGCGATGATGGCTGGCAAACAGCAGCGTCAAGGCCCTGCAAGTTCAAATGAGTCATTTATCACGTTTTCATATCAATCAATATCTTTCAAAGCAGCATATCTTACGACTGCTTCCTGGTAGCTGTTGAGCAACAGTGAATGCCTGCCCAGGGATTCACAGTGAAAATGTGAATCCCATCTCACAAATAAACACGATTCACAGCCTAAGTGGCATTTCACTTTGAATGGCTGGCTGCTGTACATCACCGAGTGTACTGAAAAAAACCCACCAGTAAGTGGAGCAGACAAACACCATGTCGGCTCACAGTTGGAGAGCCAAGCGCTGCCTTCTGCCATTTGGATCACCATGGAAACAGCCAAATACACAACCAGCACTCTCATCAGCTTTAACTCAACATACTGCAGTCCATGTGTGATGATGGCAAGTTGTCCATTCTGTAGTCCCATGCTGCAAAAAAAAAAATCCTATTTCACAAATACAAAAAATGGATCAGTCAATGGGTTTTCATTGATCACCTGCAAATAATCGGCAATAACAATGTTTGTTGAGGGATGCCTGCCACAGCTTGATGATATGAACTGATGAACTGGGCAATGAGTGGGTGGCAGGAGGTAATATACCAGTAAGCCTGCAAATGACCACAATCAGAAAATAAACAACATAAAACCTGTCTGACACCAGTTGGTCTCGTATGTTGCATGACACCAAATTCACTCTGTCATTGCAATGACATTATTATTAGCGCAATTTCGGCCTACAGCAAGGCAAAGCAGTGAGTACATGTAGGGGATAGTAAATGACGCACGTTTACAACACAACCTACGTTTGTTGCATACAAATTCAAAGGGATCACCGCGGATGTGATCGGCTGCAGGCGAGCCCCGACATCTTCATGTGTCCCCCATCCAACCACCTGCCAGAAGCAACAGCTAATGAGCATGTGACAGATGTCCAACATGCGTTAAGGCCCCCCCATCTCCTCTTACCTGCTCTGTGCGCTTCACCCAAACGGACCTCGGTGATGCTGCTCGGGTCACTCTGAGATCTCCCCCGCTGCAACACGCAATCCTCATCCAGCCCGTCCGATGATGCCATGGTGGGTAGAAAAGAGCAACGCAAGACTGAAAGGCGTAACCACCGTCAGACAAGGTCACCGGCATCAAGTGGTGGAGCAGATTTAACGTGGTTGGACTGCTGCAGCTGCAGCTCCTGGTCCCCGATAAGCAGCAGTGCTGGGGAAATCCATTACGCGCGCAGCATCATGCCGCCTTCAGGTGCTGCTCGGAAAGTTGTCCTCTAAACATCTGAACGCGATGGTTTTTCGCGTGTTTTTGGTTTAAAAAATAAAAATAAAATTGCCCCGATAATGCAAAGACTCAGACTCATAATGTCGGTAGAACACATACCTACCTTTTATTTATATTCAGCAATTTCCAACTTATCAGACCAAGATGCTGCTGACAGACATAGTTTTATATCATTACAGTGTATTAATTGTCAATAGCAATAACCTTAAAAATTAACAAAAATGAAAAGTGCTGAGTCCACAGAAAGCTGGACCCAACAATGGTTTACATCTTCGATATCTACACACAGGCAAAAACGTCCAGGCTAAAGGAATCTGCTGTTTACTGAACTGCACAGTTAATGTTTCTGGCTGTAAGCGAGACTTTCGCACTTTGATAGCTCATATGGGACACCAACTTTAAAATTCAATATGTCCTACAGCCCTTGAAGGCAGCGTTGTATTCACGTCCTCTTGGGATTGGTAGAAAGTGAGGACTTTCTTAATGACACTTCCCCACTGGAATGGGTCTGTCCTAACCATACTGCAGTGGGTTCTCTGCTCTGTCTTCCCTGCACCTTTAAACTTACAATAACTGATTTTTTGGCCACTTGGGGGCAGCGCAAAGAAGTTGTGAACATAACTCTGACATATCATTACCACATTAACACACACACACATTACACATCCAGCTGTTACAGAACACTTATCATTCATTCAAAGTCATATCCGTCACCACCTGGAGAATAAATCTGATATTCACTCTCTTTTAGTTCTCTACTGTGTTCTAAGGAAAATAACAAGCTCTTTAGGTGCTAATTGCTTCACTATGTTCATCTGAGATTAGAGTTCACTGTTCTCATTCCCAGGTCATCAGATACGGACGCTAGCGGTGTTACAACCTGCAACTACACTGCTAGATGCTACTAAATCCAATACACTGGTCCTTGTTCTGTAGCTTGCAGTTCATCAGTAAATGGAGTTTGCTCAGTCAGTACTTGATTTAGGTGTGGAATTTTGGTCACATATGGACATAACCATGTCTCTGTTCAAGGCTGGACTTTTGACGGCCATCCACTGACTCCTGGTGGAGGCCTTTGACCTGTTCACAGACAGCCGATATATTGTCTGTTTCTAGTGTTCAGTTACAGCTAAAAGCTTAACAATATTATTCAAATCAAATGACAACACGCAATTTGTAAGGCTTGCTAAAGAGCATTATCAACCAACTGAGCGATGTGGCCTCTTTTAGCTGAATGTTTTGGATCACAGCCACAAATATAATGTATGGTTCAACACTCCCAGGCAGCTTTTTCCAGCAAAAAAGCTCCAATAAACCAGCTGCACATTACCTGCCCAGCACTAAAAAATGGCGGACAGACATTATCAACAACATTTACAAGAATAATTGTAATCATATAATGATGAAGAACAATTTAGAACAATCTTCTTCTTCTAATGATGAAAAAAAAAACCTAGTTGAGACAAAACAGCTTTTTGTAGGAACACAGAAAAGGCAAGGTTTCCAACAATAACATTCAGGTAGACTTTCACAAGAGGAGCAAAACTTAAGATATTATATGAGGCAATTTACAGAAATGTTCATACCCTATTTACAGTGGCTTTATGAAGAGTTGGGCTTTTATGGAGAAACTTAGTGAAGAAATTAAGACATCTGTCTGGGACAATACGCTATATGAACAGGTTTTAATCACCAGGGTGAGGTTAACTAGGGAGCAATATGGGAGTTTTACACTGTCGAGTGCAAGCATGCAGTACACCTGTCAATCCACATGGGGGTAGTCTCTGCTAGGGTAAGAGTGCTTCAAACGATCACTTAAGTACTGGTAGGTACTTTTACTTTACTTGTGTATTTCCATTTTAGGCAGCTTTATACTTTTACTCCACTACATGTCAGAGGGAAATATTTTACTTTTTACATTTGTGTGACAGCTTTAGTTACTAACATTCCTTTCCTAAAATAAATAATCCTGGCTAAAAGAGAAAACAGCATTATTGCTAACAAGCTTAAATAGACCCAAAATTGAGAATATCCTACATACTGTATTAATAGCGATGATACTAATATTGATATGATTGATGTTAAGTGTGTGATTAAATGATTAAATCATACAATATGTAAAAAAAAACAACAACACAACAATGTGTGTGCGTCATTTTAAAGTGTCTCTCAGCTCAGTCCCCCACCTTGTCAACTTTCCCCTAAGGACAAAACACGAAAGAAAAAGGAAACCGGGTTATGACTTCCACACAGTTTGCAGTTCATAGACATTAGCTCTGATACAGATTGTATTTTAAACTCACAGGTGATTGGTCCAATGGTGATGGGATTCAGCTCGGCTGTGTTGGGAACAGAGCGATATGCCCTCATTCTGCAAAACTGTAAGTGTAAGAGCAGGGTAAATGATGAGAGACCAATTGCTCCTCTTGTCACACATCCTTAGCCTGCAGTGAAGGAAGATGCATGGGTTGTCACCCTTTAAAAGGGAAGAGCAGGGCAGAGAAACGAGCACGGAGAGACAGGCCGTTCTCAGTCACTGACACATATTAATGATAATAATATTCAGGATGGTATTGGCTTCCAAGGGATAGGTACAGGAGAACGGAATAATCTCAGGTTGAACCAAAGCATCAGTGCTTGGAGGGTAGAAAAACGAGCAGTTGGAGTAGATGGCATGGGTGTTGTTGGTCTGAAAGAATAAGCATGAATGAATGACCGGTCAGCTGTATAATCAGGTCATCTTGAGTTTAAGTACAAATCAGCATGTGAGTAGGAGGCATCTTGTAGTGTAGTTGCAGATTACACCACTCTTTGCCTCAGCCTCCCATTGTGAGCATGTAGTCTGTAACTACAGTGGCTGCTAAACTCGCACAAAAGGCTCCTATCTGGAACATGGCAGTTCAACATGGCAGACACTGTAGAAGAGAAGCCACTCCGCCTGTTATAAACGGCTCGTTCGAAGGTAACAAAAAACCACAATTCTTATTTTCATGATGATTTTACATTAATGAAAACATATTTATGCATATTATGTTCAATTCTGAAGTTGATGGAAATATGCAATAAGACAGGAATTTGCCTGCAAATTAACAGGAAGGCACAGTGAGTTTCAGAGCAAAACATCTGTGCCTATCAATAGGCTTATTAAACAAATAATGAAGTTAAAATAAAGTTAATCTCACCATCAGTACATTTCCACAGATGCCAGCCTGCCGTGGTGTTGTTATGCACTCTGTATTGGGAACAGTAAGGGGCTGCCAAGTGACCAGAGAATGCGTTCAAACCAGATGACCGTGGGCTGCCCAAACGCACACCAACTTCGAGCTGATTACTGGAACAAACAAGCTCAGCAGCCTATAGATAAACTTTGATCTTATTGTATAATGTCAGAACCTAAACCTAAAACTAACAAACTAAAAGGTTAAATTGATTGTATACATGTTTACCTTCACAGATGACACATAGCACCCTCTCCATGATGACAGTTGTGGGAGCCCATTCCCTGATTTACACAGTCAGTTATTGATGAGTCGTGAACACTGAAGGTTATCGACCCAAATCGGTCCCCCAGCCTTTGTCACACACCGTCACCCACTGGCTGTTGTAGAAGATCTCCACCCTTCCAGAGCAGCTACTGTTAGAGTTGACAAGTCTCAATGGAGAAGTTGTTGTTGGAGTAGGTGTGGTTGTAGGAAGTGTAACTGTGGTGTCAGTTTCTGGCTGAGTTGTAGAACTTGTTGGTGTTGGTGGTTTTAGGAACTGTGACCGCTTTTAGTTGAACTGTCGAACTTGGTGATGTTGGAGCAGGTGCGGTTGTAGAGACTGCACAGGAAAGGAAACAAAGTCCTTGCATCCTCTCAAAGTAGAACAAATAAAAGTTAAAATAAAAATAAATCAATAAATAAAAGTAAATCAAAAAGTAAATCAGTTGCATTTAATTATTTTGTTAAGTAAAATAAACTGTAGAGGATTATTAAAGTTCTAACTAAGAAGAATAGTTCCTATGTCTAAATAACCTGGACCTGGGGGTCCTGGTACACCATTCAAATACTCTTTGTACTAAATCAAAAAAGATTTGGGAGCATAGCAGTGAAACCGAATTTCACATTGGGGCACTACCACCCCAGGCCATGCCAACCATGCACAACTGCTGTCACCACACCTACAGAGCCCAATCAAGTCTACCATTGCAGATTCTCTTACGGTTTAGTACTTACTGAATGATATTTACTGACAGTGAGCTATTAATAAATATTAGCTACTTAATGTCAGGGGAACAAAAGGAGCTTATTTCACAATATAAGCTAACAGGTTAATTTCTACCACTCACGGTTACCCACCATCCTTTGTGAGAAACCAGGTCACACTCTTTCTTGCCCTTTCTTTTCTCTCTTCAGTACTTTCCTTTCTTTTTGTTTTTGAAAGCCACTTTTTTTCTTTAAGTAGCTGAGACTTGACGAGTACCTTCCGGTCTATTCGCACCAGGTTTGCAGACAGGACTGAACCATTTCATAAAGTATTCTATTAATGACGACGAACTAATAATTTAATATTTAAAAAATACCTTATATTCTAACAATGTTTTAGGATCCCTGTAAGCAGGGACTTGATAATGACTTCAGACTAAATATATGACATTTATTGTTTTTAATGTAATAGTTATTAACATTTTACACAATTTCTAACCTTTTAGTGGATAAAACTCTTTCCTGCCATTATACTAGTGTACACACGTAAATCCCAGTAAAAAGGGGGAAAGTCATTATAGGTTTAAACATTTCTATGAATGAATGCCTCTTGTTACGCCAGATTTTAGGGGGTGCTGCAGCCCCCCCAGCCCCCTTAATTCAGCACCCATACCTGTCAGCCATGTTTTCCAAGTGATTCTTTTTCTACTTCTTCTTTATTTCTTATAATAAAGCCAGTTTACAATTACAAAACACAAGAACATGTTAAAAGGAACACATGACAGAAATATATAAAATAAGAAACATAAAGAAACAAATAAAAGAAAAGAAAAGAGAAAAATATAACGTATTATAAGCTGCTATAGTTTTAATTGCTTCTTGTTTTATAGAGTGTCATTTCCATTTCATTTTTGTCCGTACAACCCCTTTCCAGGAGACCAAAAAATACTCTTCCAAGGCAAGGCAAAGTCTTCATCACTATTTTCATCAATAAAAGCACATGTAGATTTAGTCAGAAATTCTTCACAATGCCAAAATAAATAATAATAAAAAATAAAATAAAAATGAATCTGTCTCCAAATCAGTTTTGTGGTAAATTAGTGGTAAATGTGGTCCATTCTTAGGCTGCATAGCATTACAGGGAAATACTTTCAGCAATGTGCCAAGTTAGAGCAGAGCATCAGCACGTCTTTATTCCCTTCTTACATTCGTGATTGGCACAGCAAAAGACCATTTTTGCATTCATATCTGAGAATACCAAACAACAATCATAATCATATTTGCTCCTAATGATGACTGAAATAACCACCGATGACCTGTAGTAAAGGTGGGAGCAACATAGAGCAAAATGTCAAACTATGTCCATAAACCTGTTGCCTCAGTGCATGCTGGGAGGATTTCCACAACACATACCCTCCCTGGCAGTAATTTAGCACAATGTTTATATACTGTACTGTACTGTACTGTATTATACAGGGAAACAAATTAAGCTCCAGTAGCAAATTCTGGTTTGTTGTTTGTTGTGGGTGTGACTGCAAAAGCCCATGCAGTTGCCTCCCAGTACAAACAATCAGTTCACTTAAACTGCAAATTAAATGTTAATGAGGTTGCAGTGAGGCAAGAGATGCTCTTCTGCCAAGGTTCTGAATAATATTGCAGAAGAAAATGATAACCTTTTCTGGCAATGTCTGATTCAAAACCCTTAACTGGAAGTAAAAACAGTTAGCGGTGTCCAAAAAGGATGGACCATCTTGGAGTGAGGTCATTTTAATTGTCAATTCTAAAACCAACATTTTAATGATTAAAAATAATCATGACAAAAACTGAATTTAACACGACTAAAATGTAATGAAAACATGAGCCAAAATTGTACCAAAAAAATTATGAGCTGTCTGAAATCAGATTTTTAATTAAAAGAAATCTGATGATTTGAATGACTAATATCAAAACTAAAATCAAAATCCCTGATGGAGTTGGTCCATAAGGAAACTGGGATACTAAAAATATGATATATTATATTATGTAGATATAATACTATATTATCTTACTGGTCTGAGGTATGATTCATGCTGTGAAATATTACATCCATGTCAGTTTCAGTTTCCATGACTCGGAAACTTAATGCAGCTTCGTTTTTAATCAGGTAACACAATGAAATCCCATTCTTGTTCATTCTAGGGAGGGAAGGACCAAAATCCTGCAAATGTTTAAATTGGGCCACTATACAAATTCTTCATTATGGCACAATCGTTCTATTTGTACAGGAAATAACAACTGTATACTATAAGCAGTACTCTAACAGCATACACACTATTGGAGATAAAGACTGTGTATGTATGTCCTTTGGAGATTTAATTAATGAATTCAGTCTGAAGGGTAAAGAACATTTTTTGGAAATAGTAACAAATTAGAAATTGTGTAACATCTAGGTTCACTGAGGTTACACACAACCACGTTGTGGATTATTTTGATATGCCACACAGATTCCAAATTTTATACATTTAAAATCAATTTTACAAGTAATGACTCATCTGATGAAACACTGTTATGGCAGAGAGATCTGAGAAGAGAATTGGATCATGGGAAATGTTTGGCAGATTGCGAAAAATATGTGAAGGAAGAAAAGGGAGGTTTTCACAGAATGAAAAATTTGTGTTGAAAGTACAGAATGGAAGTCTTAACTAATATCCAAATGTGCATTTTCAGTAATTATAGTGGGTATGATTACAGCCTCCAGAATTATTTTGAGGCATTGGAAAACAGCCTAATCTCCAGATCTGGTAAATGGTAGAGACTGGAGCCAGTCTGTGCTCAGTAGATTAAAAGGTTGATTGGAAGATGGGACTTCCTCCTGGGGCCTTTTTTTGGATCAATAGAGTGCCAGTTTAGATTGCACACACAGCCAAACATTTCCAGTGACTGCAGCATTCATTTTCACTTCATTGTGGCCTGAATTCCTTCCTTTCTTTCGCTCTTTTTCGTTGCCATGTAATACTTTCCGGATAGCTCACATGGTATAGCTGGCACCCAATGTACCAAGGTTGAGTCCACACTTCAGCTGTCACTGTCCATTAAAGGCAATAAAAGCCCCATTCTTGTTATAACGCAGTTAAACAGTAGCCTTCCCTTTGTACCATATGTGGAATCCATAAAGGAAATGGCACATAATAATTGTGTTAATTGTGAAACAATTAAATGACACTATGTGCACCAACCGCTTTGTGAACAATAGACACATATGGGTGAATTTGCATTGTGTAACTGAATCCAAAAGAATGTTGACTTTGCCAACTTGTAAGCTCTCCAAAGGCTATAAAACTATGACCTGAATGATAGTTTATTATTTTGACCTATTTAATATGTTGTCCTACTTGGCATTTACAGGTAGTATAGGTTAATAGTTGTTAAGCATCATCACAACCTGCTGCTGTTTGAACATTAGAGATTGTGGAATGAAGCAAAGAGCCATCAACAGAAAAGAGTTAATTGGGAGTACTGTATGGAACAGTGAGGTGTAAGAGCTTACCACAACAAAGAATTACAAAGAATACAAGAATGTAATTATAAAATGTAGTAATTACTAGACTGATACTGGGTCACTGTGCAATGAATCATGGGCTGGCACTGGTTGGCAGGCACCCAGGTGGAAAATGTATCTGGGGACTGTGGATCAAGTTTTGATGGAACGCACCTATCACACGGAGAGAAGCCTCATGCAAAATCAGATCATTCTTTGAAGTTAATACTCATTGGGGAATAACAAACACTCTTTTCTCCATCACACTTGCTCTTTATACAATGTCACCTGACTTCCTCTAGGCTTTCTGCAAGAACATTTTAAACAGGTAACACACTAAAATCCCATTCTTATTCATTCCACCAAATGTATAAGTTGTGTCGCTATGTACAGAAACATTCTTCATTATGGCACAATCCTGCTATTTCCACAGGGAAAACAACCACACTGGATTATTTGGATACGCCACACAGCTTCAAAATTGTATATGTTTACAAGTAATGACTCATCTAATAACTGTTGACAGAGAGATCTCAGAAGACAACTGGAACATGGGAAATGGTTAAATATGTTGAAAGACAGGAAAACTATGTAAAGGAAGAAAAGATTTACACAATATAAGATATTACATAGATATTATCATACAGTAAGACTTCATAGAATGAAACTGATGAAAGATAATTTGTGTTGGAAGTGCAGAATGGAAGTGGGAATGTTCCGACATTATATGGGAATGTACGCCTGTGAGACCAATCAAATTATTGAATTATTGTCGTTGGTTTGGTTCAACAGTCCCTTTGACTCCTACGTTACTGACTGTGGCGTGTTTTCTTTAATTTTTTGTGGACTGGATTTTTGACCTCTATATGTGCCTCTCCTTTTTATTTGACTTATTTTCATTTCCTACGTCATGTCTTGTCT